ATAAGCATGGCATATTGGAAACATGTATGAGTAAAAAATAAATACTGAAAGAAAAATGTTTTGGTGTTATTCTTAATGATTTTGTGTAGAATTTAAACATTAAGTGAAATAGAAAATGAGTAGTACTAAGCAAAAAGAATTATCAATATAAAAAGCATAGAACTCAAAAAAATTATTGGAAAATAGTAAACCTCAATGAGACATATGCAACCTAGAAACAAACAAAAGGGTTTTAACATAGTCAAATAAATGTGTTTACCTTTACATATGCTGTACCTCCAATACAAATCTGGTCAAATGGCTGTTTGTCATGGCCCTTAGCTCCAAAAGTTACAGTTCCAGAAAGATTAATTTCCATTGACTTTGGAAACTTTTGGCCTAGAAACACGAATACACAAATCAACTCTTCTCAGTACAGTGGACTCTACACCAAATAAAGGAAAAACAAAAACCAAAAAACCTCGCTCACCAATAATCCAGATCAATAAGCCTTTCTCTCGAAAGATCTCAAGCTGGCCAAAACTAACTTTGTATTCCAAATGTGTAATTGGGCCTCTTTTAAAAAGAAAAGAATAAAACAGAAAACAATGATCATAGATATAATAGTTTTAGAAGATTTAAGTCAAATCTTGCTAATATTATTTAATGCAAGGACAGAATAAAAACGTATCTTTATTGAGGTCTGAAGAACAGAACTCAATAATGAAGACATACTTCAGAGAATACCAAAACCCACATAAATATTTATGGTCATGATAAACATTTTGCTTTTGTTTCCACGGACAGCTATATCACAGATATATGAACATATTCACACAGGCTGACACATTACTAAACCAATGAGTTTATTATACATCCACGTACATGGAAAGAGCTTTGATGCACGCAAACTTAAGCAGCAGAACTGATGAGGAAGCAATCTTACAATGACTGCTAGTTTATCAAGCAGCGATACTGAGCACTGACTTATATGCAGATTCCAGAAAACTACTAAAAATAAAGTTGTAGGAAAATAATTTCCAAGGAAGCTATATTGGTGTAAGGTTATAATTTACTAGCAAAATGAATCAGAAAAATAGAGCACATTAACAGTAAATAGATTTTTTGGTTCAGTATCACCCTATGTTTGAGTAAGATAAAATTATTCAGATCTCAAAAATAAGATAGAAAAGACAATTTATTAGAGAACAGAGGGGTATATAGTAGAAAATTAGAAATCATGGCATCATATTTATTCCTACCTATTGTAAAAAGGTATATGAGCTTCACAGAATTCAAAATTATTTTTTACACTTTCATGAAGTTTTAAATTAACTGCTATTTTTAGTTGTATGTCTTCTTCTTTGATTTGATAAAAACCCAAAATTGGTGGGACAGGGACCTGAAAACAAACAAATTTTTGTGTAATTCTCAGGTTATAGTGTCTAAAATACCAATGGTGACTGACACAACGCCTTCTGTAATATACATTAGGCAATATATGTTACATTGTATTATTTATGCACATGCGTATTATAATCATATTCAGATCTGCCTTTATTGACAAGTGAGTTCTTCCAGGTTGTTTTGATAACAGCAATGATGAATTTAAATTCAATCCATGGGGAGACATCTCTCCTGTTTCCAGAGGTGAAAGGTGCCTTATAAAAGCATACAATATATTCCAGGCTGTGCTCTTGCTTCTGTACAATGTGCTCTTCCTCTAAATTCTCCAACTCGCTGCATGGGCTGTGCACTCTACACGCTGATCACTGCTGTGTTGGGCAGCTCCTGCTGTTCTTTCTGTCCTGTGACTGTGTTCCCCGACCCCTTTTCTAACTCCCTAGGTCAACTGTAACTACCCGAGGGAGAAATGAAATGGCGTGTAGGTTGGGGTGAGCCAGTCATTCCTACTGGTACACCTGAAGTAAGACAGATATTATGTATATTGCACGTCCAAGAGCTGTTAGATCACATGCAAGGAGGAAAGGCAGAAAAGAAGTTGAGAAACACTGTTGTGACTTATGAATCTTTAGCATAGAGAAATTTTAATTTTCTGGCTCTAGTACTAATATAGCCTGGGTTCTATATCTTTTCATAAATAACAATGAAATTTCCTATTGCCTTCTCAAAATAAATTCCCTTTACTTAAGTGGGATTTTCTAGCCTATTGACTGAAAAGTAGGACAAGACACAAATGACACCACATACAGTACAATGGAAAACATGCTGGGCTCTAGGAATCTGCAAACTCTGGATTCAAATCTAAGCTTTGCCATTTATCAGTTAAATGATTTTGAAAAGTTATTTAACTTCTTTGACACATTCTGCATTTATAAAATGAGAGTAACACCTACCTTAAGGTTTACTAAAAGTAGTACAGAAAACACATGCAAAATGCCCATGATAACTGATGCAGAGCCCTTATTCAGTAAGTAGCGACTGATAATTTGTGCTTATAACTAAGATTTCCTGGAATTAGAGTTATTTCATGTTTATGGTTAAAACCGTGACTACATCATACTAGGATCTATCTTGTATCACAGACTCCTTGTTAGGGAATATTTTAAAAAAATACTGACTTGAAAACTATTAATGCAGTTATAAATGCCACAAACACAGAGGTAGCCTATGCCAGAAATTGAATCTTCATCTTCATTCATCAATTATTATCTGGTAAATAACTTGAGAACTTCTCATTTGGGCCAAGAATATAAGCAATGTCCTCATGAACAGTATATTTATAAATACATCATAGTATTTATAATGGTACTTATATATATGAAAGTCGCCAGTCTTAACTTTTCCAAGACTATTTACCTGCGAAGTGTAGTAACATAAGTTGAATGACTCTAAAGGTGGAGAGAACGGAAATTTGTATGGCCCACTAAATGCAGAATCATCCATCACATCAATGCTATTAGAAGTCAGAATGGCAGAATCCAGAGAAGTCACACAAGGATGAACAAGAATATCTTGAAGTGGAGAGCCATTGGTGGGGAGACTCAAGCTGATGGTAACATTTGGCATGATTCCTTCCAAATCACACTGGAACAAAAGCAGAAATGGGTAAGACCAAGATCTTAGAACACATGCCTTCCTGTTATAGTTTGGTGCTTTGCAATATATGACACGTGTTTTATAAGCTAATAGTCATCCAAAGAGTCATATACAAAAAGACAGGCAATCTACCCACACACTAAAGACCAAACAATCCAGCTGAGGATCTAGATTCCAGGGTAATGTCCTGCATGAGTTCAGCTGAAGATATGGAGCCCACAACAATGCCTCCTACCAGTCTAATGAGGGGCCAAGAGCGCATGATAATGACTCATGCAGGCCTATTCACAGATCTGAGCTGGGAGGGCACAAGGTCAGTAGTGTGAAGCTAAACAGTCTAAACCAGCAGGAGGAAAGATCTGTGCTAGCTAGCTGAGCCAGGAAGCAACATTCAGAATAAGAATCAGCGCTTCCCTGAAAGTACTGTGGTACTATCCCCAGTGAGAGTGAGGTCCCGAGCTCCTCTGATGCTAACAGCCAGCCTCCCATCAGGAAAGCCAGCATGACAAGCTTCTCCAGGAGACTTAGCAGTGCAACACCTTTCCCTCTGGAGCCAGGAAATAATGCTCAGAGAGAGGACCACAGCTCCCCCCAAATGAACCACAGTCATTCTCAGAGACAACTAGGTCCCGAGCTCTATCAGTGACAAAAACGGCCAAGTTCATCAGGAAAGCCAGCATGACAAGCTTCTCCAAGAGAACCAACAGCTCCCAATGGCTTAGTTTCTTCTCCAGTTTTGCCTCTTACGCTGCTGACAACAATCCTCAGGTGGGCTTCCCATACCCAGCACCACAGACTCAGTTCTGCTAGATGTTACAAGTTGACCACCAGTGTCAATCCACAATTTCTTTGAGGTTTTCTCAATGTCTCATTCATTTTCCTCAATTTAACTCATGTTTTCCTCTAGGTTATTCTTTCCTAACAGTTTTATACTCTTAAATATCAAAGCTAGTGGCCAGAAATTTCATACAGGGATTGAACCTGGGTCCTTGTGCTTGCCAGACAGGTGCTTAGACTGCTGAGCTACCTGCCTAGCCCATAATTTTTACTACATTATTTCATGCTCTAAATATTTCAATGGTTTCAGGTTAAGGGTTTTTTTTTTCTTTTTTCTTTTTTTCTTCCTTTCTGAGACAATTTTCAGTTTCACTATGTAGCCCAGGCTGGCCTTGAACTCTCAGCGATTCTCCTGCCTCAGCCTCCTGAGTGCTCAGAATACAGGCACGCACCACCACAGTTATTTAGCTCTATCTTTCTTTTAAAGCCTTTTGTTGGCTGGGCCCCATGTAACTCTTCTAATAATTTCATATCCCATGATTTATGTTGCAGACATACAGAATTTTTGTATTTCCCTGAATAAGTCACACTCACTGCATGTTATTCCCTTTAACTGTAATACTCTTCTTCCTGGAAATTCATTCATGTCCAAGTTACTTAAAGATTTGTGTAATGACTAATGTTCTGTATTGTCACCTTTGGAGCCTACTTCTCACATGTAGAAATGGTATCTTCTTCCCTATTTGTTTTAGTTTGTCAACAGAAGATATTCATGAGATTTAGGAAAAGAAAAAGGGAAGCTGTTCTTAGGATATCATGGAAACCAGATTAAACAGCTTCAGACTTAAGCTTCTACTTCATGGCTATACTGGCCAGTTATATTACTTTTAGAGATCTTTCCTTGACCTTCTACTTACAGGCTGTAATAGTCATAGCAGTTTCACAGATTTCTCTGTGAACTGTAGATTCCTAATTTTTCTAATCTCCGGGATGAACTTGTGAGGGACTCTCTCTCTTTCTCAGGCTGTATCCAGAATATTACTTTGGTTTCCTTAGCACTTATCACTGAGTCATATTTATTTATTCTAATAAATCTCATAGTGGCCACTTATGACTCAACCCTCCCAACCAGCCTTACTTATGTGTGCGTAGGGAGTCTATGTCATCCTTTGTACCGCAATTCCACCTTGACAGTTACCCCTTAAGATGCTGGATCAAACTGGCAAGTTGAGATACGTAAGATTTGCTGGTACTTTACTTAGGTAGAACTACAAAATATTTTAAGTTCGTGGAACACAGGAGGCTAAATGGTTAGCTCCGAGTGCATGATCATTAGACAGTCCACAGCATGCCTATGTTTCCCTCTTGAAGGTTGAAGTTCTTTGAAAAAAAGGATCATTTCATTTTTCTTCATATCTCTAGTGCTTACCACATTTAATGCATTGGAGATACTAAAAAAGTGTTTGCTAAATTTGTATACTTATGAACTCTGTTTTTATTTTCCAGTAATTTGAAAAGTTTCACTTTTCAATGGTCTACCACCTAAAACATGTGAATTCAAGAATATATCAGCTATTCAATATAAGCAATAAGAGAGTAGGCCGGTGTTGTGAACACACCAAGTACTATTAGGGTTAGGTCTTAGGTAATAATCGAGCCAGTCACATCTGAAAATAAAAATGTCAAACAATCTTGAAAAATTTAAAAATGTCAGAGCTCCATTTTTTTTGGTACTGGGAATCAAACTCAGGACCTCACGCTTGCCAGGCAGCTGCTGCGCCAACTGAGCTAAATCCGTAGCCTAGTGCTTCACTTTTTAAACTACTCACTAGCTGTCTATAAGCACACTAGTAAAATAAAATATTTTTTCTGTACTTATTCATGGAGATAACCAGCCAAATTTCAAAAGTAAGTACTATTAAAATCTTAAAATATTTAGTTAATGCTTAAAAGACACAGAAAATTACTGGTAGACTAGTGATACAGGGAGAAAAACTAATCTTGGGTGGGTGATCTCCAAATGATACAGGGAACCTCCAAATGACACAGGGAAAAATGATCTCCCGACCTGACCTGCACGAGTTCATGTTCTCTAAAACCGAAGAACGAATTTTAGGAACTAACGGAGGTTATGAGCAGAATATATTTATCGAGGGAAAGAAAGCTCCTGAGAGAGGGACAGGAAGGGAGCCTGAGTGGGTTGTCCTCTGGGAAGCTGCCTCTTCCAGGGACTTTTATAGAGTAAAACTACGCAATGAGGCAGGTCTAAGGTGGTGGAGAACATGGGAACTCGCTTAAGGTGGATGTGAGGTGGGACAAAACTATGGTCACCCAATGGGATTACAAACACTATTGCTCAGGTAAAATTAAGTCCAGGACCAAATGCGGAAGCGAGTCACGTAGCAAGTGGGCATGAATGTAGAACAGGATTTTATGAGGTAGCCATCCAGTGGTAGTCGGACTAACGATTCTTCGGTCTCCCTCAGGGTGATGATCAATCTTGGATGCCTATCTTTAGGGCAGTTGGCATTTGTTTAATCTTTGGTCTTTAGGTCTGGCCAACCGTGGGAGCATCCATCCCTCCCATAGATGCAAAATATCTGGACTTCTGTGTTATCTCTGTCAAGGGCCTGGCCCTGCCTGACTGCCTAAAATATTTCTATCTAACTCGGCTGCCTGCAACAATAGGAGTAAAGTTAACAGGCAAAACTTTTACATGACTTTAATTATGATTAAAAAAAAAAAAAAAAGGAAGGCCAAATTTCCTTGTCAGGATTGTTGTAATTATCTACTCTTGAAACTTACTTTTATTCATAGGATTTATACATGAACATCTAACGTTAAATTTGATATACAAAAACGTGTATGTTAAAAACACAGACTAAAAGGGGGGAAAATAGACATCCGAGAATATCATTAATACATACTTGTAGGAGGTTTACTTGGAGGATTTGATTTTTGGTCACTATTCAACATGGCATTAGTCACTGCTTTCTGTACTATTTCTACTGTTTTCTAACCTTAACCTCTGTATTACATATTGATTTATTTATAAAACAAAAGCTTTTCAAAATGATTTTAGGTATTAAATTAGAGGATTTGTCATTTTGAAATCTTGACCCCATTAGAAAAAGTGCAGACAAAATAGGTTCACAAATTATTTAACAATCTTTTCACTTATGACACTGCTCTTTTCAAAAGGGCTACCTAATTGTGTAATCCTTGAATGTGCCCAGCTAGCAACTTGCTTCCAACAAACAGGAAGTAGTGGAAGAAAGGTCATATGACCGTCTAGTCTTCCTAATAAAAAGAACAGCTTCTGATTCAGTCTCCCCTCCACTCTTCTCATTCAATCTGGGAAGCAAGTCACCAAGTTGTGAGGATACACAAGTGGCCTGTGGAGAGGTTGATGTTGGAAAGGATTTTGGTCTGTCTCCAGCAACCAGCACCAATATGCCTGCCATGTGACTGACTCATGTTGGAAACAGATCTTCCAGCCCCAGTCAAACCTTCAGATCACCACAGACCCAACCAAAATCTTGACCGTTATCTCAAGACTAAACTAGAAGTTCCCAGGTAAGTTGCTTATTAAGTTCTGAACCACAGAAACTAGGAGGCTAAAAATGCTTGTTTAGAGTAACAGGACACCTTATTACACAACAGACACAAAATAACTAGCAAAAAAATAAATAAAAATTTAAAAAGTATATATTATATATATATATATAAAATATTAGAATTTTACAATTCTAATACCCAAAGATTGCTGCTCAGCTAAAAATTAAGAATATCATTTAGCAACAGAAAATACAAATAGCTGAATTTACTTTTCTCCATGTATGTTAAATGGTATGATTAATCAAACACCTGAAAAAAAATCTCACCTTGCAAGTGACTGCTCCAACAACTTGCCATGTATCTGCTACATCCTGCTTATCATACTGCATAGATTTTACCTTTTCAGTGATAGAAATGGAAACTTGTGGTTTTCCTTTGTATGTCCCAGCTTTCCAGGCTGGCAGTTTTTGTGGCTGAGTCACAGAAGCAACATTAATGTTATCCAAGAAGTTCTGTAAGTTGGCATCCAATAAAGTACCAAATGGACATGCCTGTAGAAGCAAGTCAGGTAGCTGGCTCAATTTTGTATTTAGCTCACTGTCACTTTTTTGACCTAAGGACAGAAAATCCTGTATACCGAAAAGGAGCTGTAAGCCCTGTGAAATTCCACTAAGGCTAACTAGTGGTGGGCGAGGGGACAGAGTCTGTTCAACTAGCGGAACACTCGCATATATCATGCCATTCTTCAGAAATGCAACAACTGGCCAGAGCTCTTCGCCTCCTATTGCAAGCGCATAGACGGATGTTTTATTGATGCGTGAACAACTGTCACAACGTTTCACAAAATCTTTATCATCATCCAATAATCTAAGTTCAAAAAGTAGTGCCTTAAGAAAAGGACCATCTTCAGGAACAGGCACATAACTCACTCCATTGAAGATTTTAGCTCGTTTTTCAACAGTTGGATACCGTCTGCATTAGGGGAAAAAAACATAAATGGTCTTCCAAGTAAAATGAAAACAGATGAATTAGAACACAAGGCAAATGTTAACAGCAATAAAACATGCAAAAACAAACAAACATACCTACAAAAGCCAACCATTAAGAAATATAAATTCTTACTGGAGTAGCTGTTTCACACTTGGTATGCTATCAAATGATTAAATATCATCTATTATTGAAAATATTTAATTGAGTTATTTATTTTTTTATAAATAGGCAGAATGCACAACCTTAATTTAAAACTCTTGTTTCTTATCCATTCTGATTTCCACTTGGTAGGCAGGGAGTCTATACCTAGACCACTCTGTCTGTAAGAACTTTTTCCTTTGATTCCATCTCAGGATAGTTGGATCAAAGAAGGGGTTCAATTTA